AAGCAGCGTCGGACTTGGCCACTGTTACCGCGAGAATAACCGCTCCGCGTTAGCCGTAAACCACGAACGACACGGCGAAGTTTAGATACCGATCGATAGATCGTATCACGGCACGCGTAAAAACATCGAATTCGATTCCACGACTAGACCGCAAGAAGCCGAAGAAGAAGAGAAACGAGAAACAAAGGTCTAGGAGGAGGACCGCAAGCGTGGATGGATACGCGAGCAGAGGCGAGCGAGAGGGACAGGAGAACATAGAGAGAGAGCGAGAGAGAGAGTGGAAAGGGTTGGAACACGACGAAGCACAGGGTAACGTCCGTTGCAGAACAGCCTCTGCCTGTCCCTCTGAACCCCTCATCTGGCTCCGGTGCAAAAGCATTGTGTCAGGACGTAACAACTCGCGATAGTACGACGCAGCTTCCCATGGGGCACCATTATCCTGATTTAGCGGCACATGGCTACGACTCTATTTCCTACGCGCTTCCCGGCAATACGCTCTCCTTTGTCCAGTTGAGCTTTATTTGCGCGGAAAAGGGAGAAAACGTGGTCGGGCCAGCGAATTGACGCGTTTCAGTGCGCCCCCCTGGCACCCCTTTGCTCGGCCCCTTCCCTATCCTGTTCGTTCCAACGCGATTACGTGACACGAAGACGCGGCATTGTACTCTTTGACGAGAGAACGAACGCTCCGGGATCGGGGTTCGATCGTCTCTCCCACCTAACGAGGACACCCGCTTTCGAATCTCGCGCGAATACCCCGTGTCGGTGGTCCTCGAGTGGAGCAGCGGGGGAGGCAAAGTTCCCGGGACATAGACGCGTAAACGGGATGCTCCGCGACATCTCGCGTCGCGATGCAATTAATGTCGCGAAGAGACGTACTCGTGACGATGTTCAACTCGAGAGTGGCTCGACGAGCTTGGTATATTTATGAATAACTTGGAGCGTTCCACCAGCCGAGTGCGTCTTGAATGGGCGCTGCTCGATGACTGATTGCGTTCCTCAATGACTCCGTGGTCCCCACGGCGTCCAACAATGGCGCGCGTCCTGGCCGCGGTGTTTCCACGAGCGCTTCGCGATAAATCTAATATTACCTCGTTGGTACTCGAACGCGAGGACCAACCGAGGAAATACTCGCTCGAAAAGTTGGGCCCGATGTCATCTTGGTACTTGGCAAGCGAGCGGGTTTCGATTTCTTCGGTCGAAAATTGCCACGAGGCTAACGAGGATCGACCGAACGACGAGCAAACCGGACCAGAGAGCAGACAGGGCCTTGGTCTGGTCCGGACACTCTCGATGGCGCGGCTCCAAGAATCCCGTTCCTCGACGTGGTCCATCAGCTGACCCGGTGAGCGGGATTCGAGAACCGGAGGATTTCCTTTCGGTCGTGGGGTGGAAAGTTTGACCGGTATGGCGAAGAGGCGACGAAATGCCGGTGGTCGGTCGATAAACGCGTAAGGGAGAGTAAAAGCCAGTGAAACGGGGGGGCGAGGAGGGGGCATAGACCGAAAACCAGTGGCGCGAACCGCCGGAAACCGAAACGAAAATACACAGAACCGTTCGGTGTGCAGCGACGTTTATATTTGTCAAAGGATATAAAAGCTAAATATTAATCACCAGGGGTGTACTCCTCCGGCCGGCGTCGATAAATATCGCGACCGCGGGAAATTAATACGCAACGTAGTTGCACTGTTTGAAACGAGTATTTACGCGGCCGGAGAGCTCGTGCGGCCTGCACGAGGAGAGGCGTAGAGAGGAAGATGAAAACACGGAGCGCGCGAGAGTGAGAATGAGAGGGTACGGGAGGGTACCGGAGAGAGTATGAGAGAGTACACCGGGCGGATTACGGGCTGCAGTAGACGCGAATTACGGGGGGGCTCGTTAAATAGCTCGCAACCGTAGCGAAGCTGGACCGCGAATAAAGACGCGACATCGCCTCCTTATTATTCCTGTTCCGCGTGTACACGCGTGCGTAGAAATCTGCGGCTGGTGGCTCGCTCCGGAGGGGTTGCACCGGGTTATTATTAGGGATTCGAGGTATTAAGCGTACTTTGGGGTATCGATCTTCTTATTCGGCCACCCTGCGTCATACTTAAATACAATCTTTCGGGAGCTGTGTAATCCTCTTAGCGAAGTATTCCTGTGCCTGCCACTACGCGGATCCCGATAGCGCGTGCCATTGTTTCTTATCTCGGCTGATTACGATGCTCGTGCATACGTACCGGGCACGGTTCGCGGGAGGTAAATGGAAAACGCGGGTACACGTTCTAACGAGATATTTTGACCGTGATTTAATCCTCTTACCGAAATGTTCGCAATTAGCTGCCTCGTGTTTCCTCCGTTCCATCTTTGTTTCCGATTAGGGATCTATTACCCGCGAATCGCTCGATCGCGATGGTTTCAACGGGGGGATAACAGGATGGAAAATAATTAAAGAGACGGAGAACTCGTTGGGGCGTAGGGGGTCCTCCCTCACGATTGTTGAAATTGACTGGTCGCAGGTATCATCGTGTTGCAGAGGATAGTAAGTTGCAGAGTGCTAGGAAGGACGAAAGGAAAAGAAAGGGATGCGTTTCGTCCCGAGCCTGTTGGTAGACTCATCGGTAAGGCTGCCTTAGCAGGCCAATTTAACACTTTGATTGCCACGTTGGTCATATATAACACTTAGGCGCCAGGGTGGGCATTGGTGACCGGAGCACTTGAACTACAGTTGTAAAAATTGAAAGAAAATTGATAGTTAATTAGAAGATACTTTGAAATATATAGTGCCCCATCGAACAATTAAAAATTTTTATTAGAGCATCGATTAAAAAAATATCAGAACAAATTTTGCATCTATTGGGGTGCACTTCCGTGGCGTCCTGAGCGAAACACGTGATTTCGGCATGGCAGTCAAAGGGTTAACATACGTTCAATGCGTATATCAGAAACTAGATACAATAATATACATATAATAAAAACGAAAACGTACAAAAGAGTAACCAATGGAAACTTAGACTATGACATCGATGGCTCCAGCGTGAAGCACTCGCGATATAAAATCAAACTTAATTGCCCTAGCAGGCCTTGCCTTAGAGACGAGGATACTATTGGAAGGTCTGGGAAGTTACATGTATAGGAAGCGAAGGTTTTCCGAGGACTTGCGACAAAGTCCTCGAACCTCCTTGAAGTTGGAATCCATCTAGTGGCGAGGGCGAGAATGATGGTCGCTATAGGGGAACCCTTTGCACCTCGATTTCGACGATACCTTGATATTTCGCGAGACCATCGAAGATTTACGATCGTATCCTATCTACTGATCAGATAAGACCCAACGAAGGGTGCAGAAAGTGGAAGAGAATATACCTGAAATTATTTTCCACGATTGCCTCAAGATTGTCACTGGACCCTGGGATTACTTCTCGTGAAATTTCCTTCGCGAAGGATACCACGTGGTCATTGTAAAAGTGGGCACCGCGCAGGACATAGCGTGACTGCTTATTAGGGTGATAACCTGTCGCACCAGCAGACCATGCGGAGGAAAGGGTGTAACTTGGAAATCGCGCCGAGTGTTACGCATCGATTTCGACGAGGCATCGTGTCTTATATACGTACATATATCGAATATGCTGCGGGAAGGTCGGCGCCATATGGGTTATAACAGGGGGTCGTCTACGATGCTAACTTTTCGCTTCGACGAAGCACGTGTCAGCCACGATGCATTCTCCCAAGTGTTTCGTTAATTTTCTACCCTTGGAATAATTCTCTCTTCGCGTCTATCGATATCGCATGGGTCGCGCGTAGAAGATACCAGAAGGTACCAGACGATTGCACCAGACGATTAACGATCTCGCTGGTTATTAATTCCCAAACACAATGACGATCGACGCGTGCGATTAAAATTCGATTCGCTAAATTTTCATCCCCCCGGTTAATTCGGAATTCCTGTCGCCGACATATTCCCGGGATGAATCGACTTTTTCAGAAGCACGCGAGACCGAGGAAGGCCGCAAACGGTGCTTGATTAGCAATTAATACGCGGATAGCCCATCGATCTATCGATTAACGAAACCGATTTAATCAGCGCCCCGGAACACGACTGACCAGTCCTATTAATTAGCGGAATAATCGGATCACAGGGAATTACGTGTTAACCGTTCTCCTCCCGGCCTGTATTACTTTCGATAATAGGCTCCATTACCGTCTGTGCTACTGATCCGTTACTAATGTCAGCAAGTCCGGCACCGACTGTCGTTCGAGAACAACGCAACACGAGGCGGAGGGTGAGAGACCCAGCAGGTCCGGGCTCGTGCAGCTACGGAAATTAATTCACCGATAAGTCGCGTGTGACGCGATCGAATTAATTTGCGGCGTTCGTACAGCATCGGATTAATTATCATCGCGGCAAGCGCCGTCTCATTGGCGCCGTCCATCTCTCGTTTCGCCTCCAAATTCCGCCCACTGATTCACCCCGCGATATTCCCAATCGTTCCACTCTCGTTACCCGGTTCACTCCCGCAATTTCCCAACGACCTCGCCTCTGCTATTCCTCCCTCAGGGGCGTCCTCTCCCTTGCGAGTTAATCTTTCCTCGAATTATCGTCGTTTATAAAATATCACCGTCGTTTGTCTCCGTCCCACGAACGGGACACGGTTAAGGGAAAAAATCGCAGCGTTGATTTAACGACAGAGGAAAGCAAGCAAGAGAAAAGCAAAAGCTTGGCAGTTCGGAAAATACGTCGGAGAAGTATAACGCTCGTGGTCGCGACGAGGTCTTCCGCTTATTACCCCTCTCTTGGTTGGTCTGGGCTCCGACACTTTCGGATCGTCCCGTTCGCGTCGTCTGTCCTGCTCGAGTGTCTCGAAAGAGAGCCGTCCCCCGGCAGGGCTTTGATTAAAGTCACGGTTTCAACGACTCCTTTGACGTTCGACAAAGTTTCCCGAGGCAGAGAAATTCGGTGGATCGCTCGACGACTTCTCGGGGATTTTTTGCATAGAAAGGAAAGCGAACGGGAAGCGAGAACTCACCGTAGAACCAGCACTGCTTCTCGCCGAAACGGGGCCTGAGGAACGTGTACTGAGGTTGAGGCGGAAGATGATCCAGAAGGGCGGCCAACCCGGCGACCAGGAGGGGGCCACCCCAGGCGTAGCAGGCGTACACTCGCAGTCGGAGGGTCTCTTGGCCTTTCTCCAAGCTCGCTGGTCTCAGGTCTCTGCAAGAAAAGGAAAAAGAACGGTCAGCGGGGGCGCGCGGAAGCCACGAAACACGAGATCGTCCTGTGCACTTAAACGGAACGCGAACAATAAAACACTCGGCAATCCCGCGCTACAGTTTCGCGTGGCGGGAGAAGAGGAGAGAGAGAGAAAGAGGGAGAGAGAGTTCCATTAGAACCGGTGGAAGTAAAGGTTTCGCGGAACGCTCTTTCGGAAGACCGATAGCCTGGCGTTTTGCGTAATCAGTGGTGAGGGGCAGGAGGAAAACTTGCGAAACGATAATGCGAAATGACGATACTTTGGAAATTCGATTCGTCTATTTCGTGAGTACGCATCGCGAATAATACCTGTTGAAAGACGACGTTACCGATATACAGTTAGCGAAAAAGGTATTCATACACCAATAGGTGCTCTAAGTACTTTGAATGGCGTTAACTTTCTCTGGAGAACGTTAATTTAACAAGGAAGAAAATTGACACAGCTTTTAAACGATACACTGATGGCGTCGTTGCCCTTGCGTTGATATAATCGATTTCTCGGTTATCGATCTTGTTGGGATTTCGGGAAGGGAATCAAAGCGTTTAGCGTGCAGGGAAATAACCGTATTCTGCTGCACAGCAATAGATGTATAAAATTTAATACAGGCGAAATATATACACTTTATGCGAATGTAAAAACAGAGCTTTAAACACGCCCCTATGGATCACAATATTTTAAAAACGTTCTGCACTGGTCCGGATTAGAGACTGACTCTTGCAAGAGACAGCAGGCCCTTTTAACCCTTTGCGCTCGAGAGGTGCCTCTAGGTCACCATTTGATAAAATTTCGAAGCTCGATATTAATAAATATATCAAATTTAAAATAATCTAACAGTGTGCGAGGTATCTATGTGTTAATTATTATACGATTTCTTATTTACTGCTCGAAAAATATCATCAGCCTTATGGAAGAAAATTTTTCAACTCGTACCCCTCTTTAGTCAAAAAATCGTCGAGCGCAAAGGATTAAATTCAAAATCCAACCCCCTGATGCCTGCATAGTATCGAAGATCTTTAAAGTCTAAGGTCGGTATTGTCCTGCAACCTCTAAAGGACTTGTCACCATCGTTGCACGAGCATAGTTACTTTACAACAGATTTTGCCAAGAGTATCCATATAAATTGCATCATATCCTTTATTTTGCTTATTCTTAATTGAAATTACCGTCTCTCGCTGAATACGCGAAGCACCATGTTCGTTTTCTAAGCTTTCGATCTATAACGATACCCAATTCGTCGGATAGTTGAAAAGATTGCAATTGAAACGCAGTTTCGGATCAGCGATGGAAGGCAATACGCGTTCGATCTTCGATCCGTATTGCGCACCCTCTCCTTCGGCGGGAGAACCGTCATCGAAATAGATTTATCGTCGCAACGGGCACTCGTTCGACAAAGGGTTCCGACAAAGGTAATCTACATGCGTTTCAACGAGCGCAAACAAGCCTCTAGAGAGGTAAACGGAGCAATCGACGGAACGGAAGGGTGAAAAACTACCGGTGCGACGCGCGCGTCGATGGGGTGACGGGCGAAACAATTACCTTAGATGCAATTAATGCATAGTCCGCATTCCTGGCCTATCGGGTGCAGGCACCGGAACCCTTTTTCATCTTTTTCGGGCAAAGGGTTGCAGAGCGGAACGCGCGAGTTTCGCGCGGAGTTTGCTCGGAAAGTTTCGCGGCCATTAGCATGCCCTGACGGGGGACCGTGTTCCCGGTGTTATTATGCAATTCACAGAGGGCCGTGTGTCCCACCGGGCACCGTCCAACTTCGACAGATCGCCGTTGCTCCGTTTCGTTCGCTAAACTGCCTCCTCCTAAGCAGTCGACAATTACGAACTGCACTCGGGTTGCGCAACCGACGCGGCGGTCGAGGGTTTGCACGAAGCGAAATTTCGCAGCCATCGCGGAGCCAGCCGAAAAGCGCGCGATATGAAACGCAATAAGGAGGTAGAGGGCGCAGCTGGCAGGGGTCCAGGGAAAAATGAAAGTCGACGGAATGATGAGACGCGCAATAAAAAGGACGTCGGTTGGTAGCAGAGGACGGCTAGAGTCCGAGAATGACGGTCGTTTGCACATCTGCCGTGCCACTTTCCTTCTCCCTTTTCCTCCGTGCTTGCCAGTTGCACCCTTGCCCGGTTTGCAGTCCACGAATTCGCGTGACGAAAGAGCAAACGCTGGATCGGGGTGAACGGATAACCGGGTCGTTAACGTTTCAAACTTTTAATTCCGATTGCCCGTAATTATTCCGAGTCCCGTTGCGCGACGCGGTTAATCGTTCATCGCGGAAACGTCGAACGGTATAATCGAGTCGCGAGTTTCCTCTTTGGTTTCTTTGCCATTGGCACGGATGACGCGTCCACGCTTTGGATCTCGATGAAACGTAACGGGAAAGGAGTGGAACTGGGATCACCGCGAAAGGCAGTCGGAAGCGTTAAAACGCGAAGCGGCGACTCGGTCACCGCGACGAGAGGAGTAATTATAGGAGCTGGTAGAGATAACAGGCGTACTCGCGAGTTTATCGATGCCACCAGGTGGCGCTTATTAACGGGACTTGGAAATAATTGAATTTCGACACGCGACCACGGTATCCTGAGCTATACGGTCGAAACGACGAGGCTCCGTCATTGTCTGGCTAGTTTAACGTCGCTATAACAACAATCCCCTGCAAACGTTGGCAGGGGTTAGCCCGACGCGGGGCTTTAACGCGGAGGGTTGTTACTCGTAAATCGCACCCTATTCGAAGCGACATTACTGCGGATATGGCAAATGTCGGGCGTAACGACGCGACTCTATTGTCAAAAAGTGAAAATTCAAATAAAACGGGACGGGACAAGCGGAACGCGCTGCTCTGGCGCCAGTCGGACTGCGCGTCCATTCGATTACGTACGGGTTATCCCTGCGCCTCTGCTGGCTCTCGATCCGCGAGCGTTTCTCCATCGGACGACGAGGCAACTTAATTGCTCGTGCTCGTTAACGTAACGTAATATCGGCTGGCGACGGTAGTCGTAAGTTTAATTCGCTACCGTGTCCAGCGAGCGGCGAGATGGAATCGCGTTCTTTCGCTAATTACCCGCGCGATTATTCCCCTTAATCGCCGGCTCGATTACACCGCCGTGGACGTCGTAAAGCGTCCTTTGGCGCGGGGATACCGGTAACGCCTCGCGAGCCGTCCTGCGAAAGGACGAGCGCAAAGACGAGCGAGAAGACGAGCGAGAGACGGCGGAGATATTAATTCCCGGTGGCAGGGCTCATTTCCGGGAACGCTAATTAGCCATCACCGCGGTCGTTGCGCGCGATTAGTTGCTCCTCGTCCGGTCGGAAGAGAAAGTTTCTCGCATCGGAAGAAGAGGGTAGTCGGTTTTCGCGTCTCGCTTCGATGTCGCAACGGCGCCGCGATAATTTTCCACCCCCGGTTGGCGGTGTCCCGTTGAAAATGGAGGGAAGTGGCGCGCGAACCGTTGCCAGGGATCCTCCGAGGGGAAAGACGTATTAAATATCGCCGTGGAGAAAATTAGGGAGCTGTTACGTGCCGGTAGGCACAGCGTCCTTCTTTTCTCCGGTTTCTTCCGCCCTTACGCGTGTGCGGCAAATATTTTCGCGCACCCCCGCCGCGTTTCCGGTTACGACGCAGGCGGCTGGTGGCGGAGAGTATCGGTGCCTCGGCGTATGGCGCAGGCAATTTGCGAACGACGACAACGTCTTCCGTGACAAAGAGGATTATTGCGCGGCTCTTCTTCCCGCTCCCGGGAGTATAACCCATTGTCGGAGGACGGAAGAGATAAAGGTTATTTTTGTAATAATGGATTCGCCGGTGGAAGGGTTTTCTATTGGAACCGGACGAACGGCCTTCGTCCCCGCTCTACCTACTTCGTTCCTCTCGATGAAATATACGTATTCTATTATCGCAGCGCGAGCACGCGAGACGCGGGGAAGGAAGACGGCGGAGCGTTCGGGCTTAATCCTGACAAAGGACTCGTCGGAATAGCTTCTTTTAATTGTATCCTGTCACCGCGGCTATTTATCGTTCGTATTTGCGAAGGGAAAAAAAGGGGAAGGCCGGTCGTAAAGGGCAGCGGTGCCATTAAGCCTTTGTGCGCGAATCGTCTTTGCCTCGTGGCCGTAGTTAAACCGTCGACGGCTTAAAGTTATTAAAAGTATCCGAGAGATCGGCGGAGACGTACGCGCCTCGGCGCGGCGCGCGGAGAGAAGAGGACCAAGAGTCACGGTGGCTCGTCTCGCCGCTTTGCGCCATTGAAACCTCGTTTCTCCGACTGGTTGTCCGCCACGGCGACAGCTTTATTTCTGCCGGATAAAAGTGGCGGCAAAAAAATTCGTAGAATTACAAACGTCTCGGTTTTTGTCGCGCGTTCACCGGCTGTCGCGAGTTCTTGTATCTGCGGAGCACACGCCGCGGACTTTATACGCGGCCGGCGTAAACGTCGCCGACTGTCTCCGAGGCCGGAACGCGGCAGCTCTATATTTATCTGTCCGATATGGTAATTATACGGACGGCAATTAGCGGCGGTGGCAGTTAGAGGTAGAGACCGCCGCTTGGCAGACGGTATCACGCCACGACTCGCGGAGGATACGGAACGGGAAGGAGAGAGGTCGTTACACGAAGCCGCGATGGACGACCGAGATATTATTTATCTTGCTCGTAGCTCGCGTAAACGCGGAAAGAAAAGAGTCACGGTTCCCGAGGAAAACTTGGTCCACGGCTTTACGACCCACCTTTATGGACCTGCTCCTTACGGTTACGAGGATACGGGTACTGCAAATGTCCGCGATTCTCCAACCTGTCCGCTCCGCGAGTCGATAATCGCGAGGACTCTGATACCGCGGCTATGGCAATTTCGAATTTAAATCGAACAACCTCGAATTAAAGGCAAACGAACTTTTAATTACCCGTGGCTGACCTTGAGACGACTACTTTCGAGGTGCTTCGTACCTGGCTGGACGAGCT